ATATATGTCTGCTACTTGTGTAGATAGTTTATAATATCCTATGCAATTTAATTAACAGGCACATATGACATGTTTAGTCAATATGTGAAAAAAGGCATGCCCCTTCAATCAGTTTTGAAATAGCTTCGCACCCAGCCGAAGTAAATGACCAGCCCCTTTTGGTCAAACTTTAAACATCAATCCTAATTACCATCTAGAGGCGATCGTACATACATCATCATAACAATGCACATACACCACTGAACTTTCCTGCCCTCCAGACTGATTACATTTTGTGTTACTTACACCAGCCACTCATTCTGTATCGATTTCAACAGCCAAAAACAAATAAAACAATCGTGCACAGCAGTATTTTAATTTGCCAAACATCCATTTGAGTACATCCCGATCAAGTGTATTTTGTTTTATTTAGCTACAATGATAGAATAAGAGATTTCATGTATTAAATGATTGCTAATGACATAGTCAGTTTTATTGACATTGTCAATTAGACAAATGACAAATGTGCTCAAATCGTAATTAAATGTTGTGGCAATATTCATCATGTTACCTACAAACGGATTGTAGCTTCTAGCAAAAAAATCATTTTCATATCGCACAGCATCCTGAGAAATGTGAAATTGCGATCTAAGTAATAATTTAGGATCATAGCAATGTGTTCCTAGTGATCTGTAAAATTTAACAAAATGACAAATCATGAAACACGTCAACTAAAAGTTATGTGACACTCCATGTGTCTCTAGTTGGAGATGATAAAATGCACTGCCGATAACTTAGGATAGTATTCGCCGGATATTAAAAAACAAAACATGTCTAATATCAAGATATTAGTACTATTATATAGTATCGAACAGCCTTTCACGTTTCATTTGGTCTGAGGTTTGTATCGGGAATTTTACTACTGGGACATTTGAGGCAATACAACAAACTCACTCCGGGGCTCACACTAGAAAAATGGTAAAATTTTCATGATTAATATTGATAACCATAGGCAATGTCTTGTACATTTTTTTTTTATTTTTAAGATATATACATTTACCCTGGATATGTTATATAACCTGCATGCAATTTGCATCGGTAATTTTGCAGCGACTGTTTCATTCGTTGAGCTGATAAATAACCTAACGAAAATTGGATTAGCTGTGACTATTTGGACTACCTGTAACCCTTATAGCCACAGTTTTAGGAGCTTTTTATGTGGGTGTGTGCAGTAATATAGTGTTATGACATCGTATGTACTTGTCTTGTTAATTAAACTTCCCGACACTTGACTGGAATAAAATATATAGCCGTGGTTCATAGCACTCCTGATACTGGTCAGTTTCACTTAAAAGGACAAGTAATATGAACTTAGTAATCAGCTGTTTGTCTTAATAGTGAGCATTATAGCCATAACTAAACCTCCTTATAAATACACATCTTAGTTGCATTGATCGTGACAAACTAGAATTAATTGTTGTATCTGTCACACAATTGAGTGACTATGTGTATTGCATTTTTCTTGGTCTAATTAATTATAATAAATATTTAAGGAAATGTTGTAACCCATGGTGTATTGGAATTTTGTGTGGTGTATATGTGAATTGAGAACACACTGTAAATGCGTGTGGAACTAATAATAGTTAATGGTTGGGTGTAGTATGTAAAGTCAGTGACACTCCAGTTTACTTCTTATTTCTGTGGGATTATTGTTATTCGTAACGCAAGGTATAGGATACGCTTATAAATCATATGATGTTCGCTGTTTAGATCTCTCTGGACAAGTTAAATGTGTTACTTACGCGTACTTATATACACATCAGAAAAAATATACATAAGAAAGTATATACTTCATATACAGCTAGTTTTGTAGCACAGTTATCTATAGCACTGCGGGGACGTATGTTTACCTCATTCTCTGATACTTATCTTGCGATGTGAAGATTTTACTATTTCTATTGTCCGTTTTCAGCTTGGTCCGTCTATCGAAGTCAAAAACCTTATATATTGTGCCATGCCCTTCATATGCTCAAAACTTGCTCAAAACTATATATCCATCTTATAAGGTTCTACCCTGCCTAATTATATGGTGCTTTGGATAAATAAACTTGTTAAATTTGTTCATACTCAACAACCTGTTCTTATTTACTGTAGTCATTCGAATTTCTTCTGAATATTGTTCGAGTAGACGGTATTTAGACGGTATTTGAGACACTCTTCTGCACGTATCCATGACTACGCGACCAAAACGCTTTGTTGTTAGACGTCAGAAAGTAATAAAGAAAATATTCATATTCAGTACGAATCTCCACAGGCAAACAAACCAGAGTGGCACGCACTGTGTATATTGTATTCATTTAATGTGTTCGATATTTTATGTGGGTTCTAGTGGGCCATGTATGGTCTGTATTTGACAATTGATATATTATGAGGCAACGTGTGCACGAAGACAGTATTGCGATCGTATAGACTGTTGCGTAGCGGAGTAATGTCCTGCTTGTAACAATAACAACCCGAAATGACAACGAAACACGTTTTCCGTTGTGCAAACGTTTGCACTTAGTGAATGGGGTTATATTTCCGCCACGCTATAGTGCTTCGGCAACCGGTGTGAACAAACAATTGTTCGAAACGAACATGTTTCAAATAAGGAACAAGTAACAATTTCTAACACGTCCGTACGAAGTTTATGGTTGAATTCTATTTTTGTCCGTGTCAGATGTATAATAAATAAATTTACTTCAGCATAAGTGTTTACATTTTATTCCCAACAGTAAGTGTCGTAATGCGTTGAGTCAGTTTGAAGCATTATTATTTGGAAATCTTGTGTTCTCTTGTGAGCCATATCTTTTTTTTCACATACCTGATTGTGTACTTGCATTTTTTAAAACTTTATATGGAGTGATTACATACTTGATCAACATTATAGAATACTTTCTGTTGTTTGGTATTGGCTTCCTTAATATTTTAATGGTCTTTTATAAGACTTTGGTAGATTCTACATTACAATATATGTTTCACTTTCTTCGACTGCGTCTCTCTTTTGCGCACATCTTCATCTTTGTCCTTTGTCCCGTTATCACGCAATAGCGTACAATGAGTCCTTCATTCCCCAATTATTTGCAACCAAAATTACCTTGGTTTTTCTCTCTCATTCAATGTGTATTCAATGTAATATGTATAACGAATCCCATTCCCGCGTTGTAGTAATTTTATTCTATTTCATTTCACACATAACGAATTGACAACTTCCAAATAAACATTATTAACGTTCATTTAACGAATTGCTTTAAGAACAAAATTCCTTTCAAATAATATAATGGTAAAGTTATAGCATTTGTCGAACAGGACACCATATGTAGCTGTTACACAATTAACTATACAAAGAAACTAATACGTTTGTGAGCTACATACCAATTGGGTAAGACCACGTACGAGTATTTACCTCATTTAAACCATATCCGCTGCCAGGTTGTATTTACAATTTATTTATATAACCACAGGGGGCCCAGGAACTATAATCAACTGTAATACACAGTCTCTATGAGCGGGGGGGGGGGGTATCGGCTGGTATCTAGTGTAAGAAATAGACAAGGAATGAAGGCTCCAGCCAGCTCACATTTTTTAAACTCGAAAAAACAGACGAAAAAAATAAAAATAAAATCTAAAAAAAATACCAGGTTGAAGAATATTAGTTGCTCCTTCGAATTTCGCCAAAGCCCTACCTACATTTTACCGATATCTGCAGAATAAATCAAGAAAACTACACAAATTGACTCCATTTAGGAATTCCTAACGGTTAGTCCGAACGCACGACACCGTTGGAGGCGTGGCCTATAACCAAGAAATACCACCAGCAACGTACAATGACGCGATTTTGTCACAAATATAACTAAACTCACATATTTCTAAATATAACCTGTCATTAATGAATAAGTGAAAAGTTAATACGCTATATAATAAATTATATTCTCAACGAATGTAATACAGTGTGCTCATTATAAGTAGATTACATCATTAATGTGTTCTATAATATATACGGTTGTCATAACCATTTTGTCAACCCCAAGCCTTCCAATATATTCCCCCAAGCCTTCCAATACGCTGTATTACTTTGTGATTAAATCGTGCAATGCATGCTTTGAAGATTACAGAATCTCACTTAAGTATGTAAATTAGAAAGGCTAATGCGTGCCATCGGCCCTAAAAATTCCTAATAATTTGACATTGAAACTTTTCCAGTTTCCTGGGCGTTAAAACGTAATGTAACATTAACATGACAATTACATTATTTCAATTAACCTTTTGAATTCTATACAAACGACAGCCAAGTCAGAATGAACGTTTTCACGAAGTCCATATTCTGTAAAAATATAAACAGGAAAGCATTTAATAATGGTATCAAGTGAAGGTAAGCAACTTAACAGTGCGCCGATATGCACTCACTGAACTTATATTTTCGATCACCGGTATCATCTGAATTTTACATACTAAAATAAAATGTTCTTACCAGCCTCGGAATTATTCATCTAAAGGGATCACATGATTTCGTTCATTAGTTGATGGAATTCTAAAATTTACAGACTTTACTGCCCACACTGCAGTTGGACGTGTAGTGTCTCCGGAGTACTGTGACTCTACACTATCTGTTCCTCTTAAAGGTGACTTAATGCAGCAAATGTACCGCCATACGGACGAATAACTTCTCCTAAACTGTGCGTTCGTTACACCGTATACAATGGGATCCAGAGCACAGCTAGAATGAGCAATAGTCCATACAATGATATGTGCTGTTTGTGATAGTTCATCTTGAAAATCGAGTAAGACTACAACGCCATATGGTATCCAACTCAAGGAAAACAGAGCGAAAATGGAGATGATCATTTTAAGCAATTGTACTTGTTTTTTATTGAGTCTGGAGCGTCTTTGTTCCTGTGCATGGTTGTTAAGAGAGTTACCTGGCTCCCCGTCTCGATGCAACTGAATTTTGAGTGTTTGATTCCTAACATACATGAATATGCTCATGTAGCACAGTACGTCAACAAACCAAGGAAATAGTACACCTCACTGACAAAAAGCAATATCCAACCATACTGTGCTGTACGATCGTAAGAACAGACAAGCGTTTTCATATCAAAACGGTTATCACCCCAGTTCAGAAAATTTGGCATATCGATAAGAGCGGAGATAACCCACACTCCAATAGCCATCACAACTGTGTTCCGAAGATTGAAGATGCGTTTGTAATACTTATTGTGACAGATGTACACGTAACGGTTAACACTGATCACCATGATGTTCCATAGCGATGCTATGCACGCCGTAACGCAGAAGAAAGCTATAACTTCACAAAGAACAGTGTTGAGAGTGAAGAAGTGGTGACTCTGTAGTATACCTAAAACATTAAATGGCAGAATAAATCCAGTTACTATAATATCTGCCCACGCCAAACTGAAAATATACACGTTGGTGAGGGTCCGGAGTTTGTTGTTGAATGAAAATGACAAGATAACCATTATGTTGCCCAATGTACCGGCCAAAATTAATATCAGCTGAACGGTGACGTAGAATACCAAGAATGGATGGCTTGGATCATCGTACTGTATACCGAGGTTGGAACTCGTGGCACTCGCTGTCTTGTTCATATCTACATTCGACGTGTTCTCACTTGAAACGATGTTATATTGTGTGCTGTCAGTATCAGATCATAACAGTGAAGCACGTTTCTAAACTGTTCATTCTTGTAGACTTGTGTCTTGCTTGAAACATGTTTTATTGGTGCCTTCAATCTGTTTATAATAATACATTCAAGAATATATTAGCAATTAAGTACATAAGTAATTGACCAAATATTAAATAGTTATAACAATGTGAAGAATACACATTCTTAACTGTGAATAGACACGATGACGTGGATCTTTTTTCTTTTATGTTCCCTATAATACTACAACATGCTAAGTTTCGCCCATTTTTGCGCACATGCCCGTCCTTGCCCTCTTTATGGCGCGATAACGAGCAATGCGTCGCCCATTATTCCCGAGTATTACTCTATTTCGCTCCATTTAACATTTGACATTAAATTTTGTAATACAAAATCCCGGACAAAATCAAGCAACTTTTCCGGTATTGTGTGATTTGCTCATCAATGATGATGAACACAAACAAATTTAAAATTCGTTAATGGTCGAATTAGTGTGTCGTCATTTCCAGATTCATGGCGTCCACTCTACGCATCATTCAGGGCGTAATGAGCCAAAAACGCAATTCACAGCAAAATAAACATTTGACAAGTACTGTTGGTATATCATAATAAATCCATTTAGTTTACTAGTATATTCGAAGTCAATTTTACATTAAATCAACTCATCAACTCCTAATATTAAATTTATGTTTCCCTTTTCATTATACTAATACTTATTATTGGCGATCCGCTCCGCTAGGATTGCCCTTATAATCACTTTTGTCGTTTTGTGTGTGTCTGTGTCTGTGTCTGTGTGTGTACATTTCCAGTGTTCACTATTATTTCTTCTGTGATTTTTTTGGCTTGGCCGATTTCGTTCAAACTTGGCAGGTAGGTCACACCTTAACCCTAGTTATAAGGAAAAATCTGAAAAATTTTTTTGGCCCACCGTTGCCATAGCAACAGCCAAAAAACTGATTTTTGGATAGCTTCGCGCCAAATGTATCTCCTCCTACAAATTTGGGATAAAACACTTCAGACATAGCTCATTCTACTCAGCTTGAGTGTGGGCACAAAGTTACCATTTGAATTTTTGATATCTGTTTTCATTACCGAGAAATTTGACCCTAAAGTTGGGGTAACTTTTCACCAGCACGGCTTTTAACTCCTCTGTGATTGTTTCGGCTCGGCCGGTTTGTTCATACTTCACAGGTAGTCGTGCCGTCACTAATTGGAAA